ACCCTCTCTCCACTCTCATCCCAGTCACAATGATCAGCCCATAGGACATTCTAACACAGGTAATCATGATTAACCCTCTCTCTACTCTCATCCCAGTCACAATGATCAGCCCACTAGACATTCTAACACAAGTTATCATGATTAACCCTCTAGCCACTCTCATCCCAGTCACAATGATCAGCCCTCTAGACATTCTAGCACAGGTAATCATGATTAACCCTCTAGCCACTCTCATCCCAGTCACAATGATCAGCCTACTAGACATTCTAACACAAGTAATCATGATTTACCCTCTTGCCACTCTCATCCCAGTCACAATGATCAGCCCACTAGACATTCTAACACAGGCAATCATGATTAACCCTCTCTCTACTCTCATCCCAGTCACAATGATCACCCCACTAGATATTCTACAAGCAACCATGATTAACCCTCTTGCCACTCTCACCCCAGTCACCACGATATCTCCCACTAGATATTCTACCACAAGCAACCATGATTAACCCTCTTGCCGCTCTCACCCCAGTCACCATGATCACCCCACTAGATATTGTACCACAAGTAACCATGATTAACCCTCTTGCCACTCTCACCCCAGTCACCACGATATCTCCCACTAGATATTCTACCACAAGTAACCATGATTCACCGTCTTGCCACTCTCACCCCAGTCACCATGATATCTCCCACTAGATATTCTACTACAAGCAACCATGATTAACCCTCTTGCCGCTCTCACCCCAGTTACCATGATCAACCCACTAGATATTCTACTACAAGTAACCATGATTAACCAATTAGATATTCCACGACAAGTAATAATGATTAACCCTCTCTCCACTCTCACCCCAGTCACCATGATCACCCCACTAGATATTCTACCACAAGTAATAATGATTAACCCTCTTGCCGCTCTCACCCCAGTCACCATGATCACCCCGCTAGATATTCTACCACAAGTAACCATGATTAACCCTCTTGCCGCTCTCACCCCAGTCACCATGATCACCCCACTAGATATTCTACCACAAGTAACCATGATTAACCCTCTTGCCACTCACCCCAGTCACCATGATCACCCCCCACTAGATATTCTACCACAAGTAACCATGATTAACCCTCTCCACTCTCACCCCCCCAGTCACCATGATCACCCCCACTAGATATTCTACCACAAGTAACCATGATTAACCCTCTCTCCACTCTCACCCCAGTCACCATGATCACCCCACTAGATATTCTACCACAAGTAACCATGATTAACCCTCTTGTCACTCTCACCCTAGTCACCATGATCACCCCACTAGATATTCTACAACAAGTAACCATGATTAGCCCTCTTGCCGCTCTCACCCTAGTCACCATGATCACCCCACTAGATATTCTACCACAAGTAACCATGATTAACCCTCTTGTCACTCTCACCCCAGTCACCATGATCACCCCACTAGATATTCTACCAGAAGCAAACCATGATTAACCCTCTCTCTCCACTCTCACCCACAGTCACCATGATCACCCCACTAGATATTCTCTACCACAAGTAACCATGATTAACCCTCTTGCCACTCTCACCCCAGTCACCATGATCAGCGGATCACCCCAGTAGATATTCTACCACAAGCAACCATGATTAACCCTCTTGCCACTCTCTCACCCCAGTCACCATGATCACTGATCACCCCACTAGATTTTCTACCACAAGCAACCATGATTAACCCTCTTGCCACTCTCACCCCAGTCACCATGATCACCCCACTAGATATTCTACCACAAGCAACAATGATTAACCCCCTCTCCACTCTCACCCCAGTCACCATGATCACCCCACTAGATATTCTACCACAAGCAACCATGATTAACCCTCTCTCCACTCTCACCCCAGTCACCATGATCACCCTACTAGATATTCTACTACAAGTAACCATGATTAACCCTCTTGCCACTCTCACCCCAGTCACCACGATATCTCCCACTAGATATTCTACCACAAGTAACCATGATTAACCCTCTCTCCACTCTCACCCCAGTCACCATGATCACCCCACTAGATATTCTACCACAAGTAACCATGATTAACCCTCTTGCCGCTCTCACCCCAGTTACCATGATCACCCCACTAGATATTCTACCACAAGTAACCATGATTAACCCTCTTGCCGCTCTCACCCCAGTCACCATGATCACCCCACTAGATATTCTACCACAAGTAACCATGATTAACCCTCTTGTCACTCTCACCCTAGTCACCATGATCACCCCACTAGATATTCTACTACAAGTAACCATGATTAACCCTCTTGCCACTCTCACCCCAGTCACCACGATATCTCCCACTAGATATTCTACCACAAGTAACCATGATTAACCCTCTTGCCACTCTCACCCCAGTCACCATGATCACGATCACCCCACTAGATATTCTACAACAAGTAACCATGATTAACCCTCTTGCCACTCTCACCCCAGTCACCACGCTCACGATCACCCCACTAGATATTCTACCACAAGTAACCATGATTAACCCTCTTGCCACTCTCACCCCAGTCACCATGATCACCCCACTAGATATTCTACCACAAGTAACCATGATTAACCCTCTTGCCACTCTCACCCCAGTCACCACGATATCTCCCACTAGATATTCTACCACAAGCAACCATGATTAACCCTCTTGCCGCTCTCACCCCAGTCACCATGATCACCCCACTAGATATTCTACCACAAGTAACCATGATTAACCCTCTTGCCACTCTCACCCCAGTCACCACGATATCTCCCACTAGATATTCTACCACAAGTAACCATGATTAACCCTCTTGCCACTCTCACCCCAGTCACCACGATATCTCCCACTAGATATTCTACCACAAGTAACCATGATTAGCCCTCTTGCCGCTCTCACCCTAGTCACCATGATCACCCCACTAGATATTCTACCACAAGTAACCATGATTAACCCTCTTGCCACTCTCACCCCAGTCACCATGATCAACCCACTAGATATTCCACAACAAGTAATCATGATTAACCCTCTCTCAACTCTCACCCCAGGCACAATGATCACACCACTAGACATTCTAACACAGGTTATCATGATTAACCCTCTCTCCACTCTCATCCCAGTCACAATGATCAGCCCACTAGACATTCTTACACAGGTAATCATGATTAACCCTCTCTCCACTCTCATCCCAGGCACAATGATCACCCCACTAGACATTCTAACACAAGTAATCATGATTAACCCTCTCTCCACTCTCATCCCAGTCACAATGATCAGCCCACTAGACATTCTAACACAAGTAATCATGATTAACCCTCTAGCCACTCTCATCCCAGTCACAATGATCAGCCCACTAGACATTCTAACACAAGTAATCATGATTAACCCTCTAGCCAATCTCATCAAAGTCGGGGCGGTGGGGTAGCCTAATGGTTAAAGCGTTGGCTCGTCACGCCGAAGACCCGGGTTCGAATCCCCACATGGGTACAATGTGTGAAGCCCACTTCTGGTGTCCCCCGCCGTGATGTTGCTGGAATATTGCTAAAAGCGGCGTAAAACCTAACTCAGTCAGTCAGTCATCCCAGTCACAATGATCTGCCCACTAGACAATCAACACAGGTAATCATGATTAACCCTCTCTCCACTCTCATCCCAGTCACAATGATCAGCCCACTAGACATTCTAACACAAGTAATCAAGATTTACCCTCTCTCCACTCTCATCCCAGTCACAATGATCAGCCCACTAGACATTCTAACACAGGTAATCATGATTAACCCTCTCTCTACTCTCATCCCAGTCACAATGATCAGCCCACTAGACATTCTAACACAAGTAATCATGATTAACCCTCTAGCCACTCTCATCCCAGTCACAATGATCAGCCCTCTAGACATTCTAGCACAGGTAATCATGATTAACCCTCTAGCCACTCTCATCCCAGTCACAATGATCAGCCTACTAGACATTCTAACACAAGTAATCATGATTTACCCTCTCCACTCTCATCCCAGTCACAATGATCAGCCCACTAGACATTCTAACACAGGTAATCATGATTAACCCTCTCTCTACTCTCATCCCAGTCACAATGATCACCCCACTAGATATTCTACAAGCAACCATGATTAACCCTCTTGCCACTCTCACCCCAGTCACCACGATATCTCCCACTAGATATTCTACCACAAGCAACCATGATTAACCCTCTTGCCGCTCTCACCCCAGTCACCATGATCACCCGACTAGATATTCTACCACAAGTAACCATGATTAACCAATTAGAACATGATTAACCCTCTTGCCACTCTCACCCCAGTCACCACGATATCTCCCACTAGATATTCTACCACAAGCAACCATGATTAACCCTCTTGCCGCTCTCACCCCAGTCACCATGATCACCCCACTAGATATTCTACCACAAGTAACCATGATTAACCCTCTTGCCACTCTCACCCCAGTCACCACGATATCTCCCACTAGATATTCTACCACAAGCAACCATGATTAACCCTCTTGCCGCTCTCACCCCAGTCACCATGATCACCCCACTAGATATTCTACCACGAGCAACCATGATTAACCCTCTTGCCACTCTCACCCCAGTCACCACGATATCTCCCACTAGATATTCTACTACAAGCAACCATGATTAACCCTCTTGCCGCTCTCACCCCAGTTACCATGATCAACCCACTAGATATTCTACCACAAGTAACCATGATTAACCAATTAGATATTCCACGACAAGTAATAATGATTAACCCTCTCTCCACTCTCACCCCAGTCACCATGATCACCCCACTAGACATTCTAACACAGGTAATCATGATTAACCCTCTAGCCACTCTCATCCCAGTCACAATGATCAGCCCACTAGACATTCTAACACAGGTAATCATGATTAACCCTCTAGCCGCTCTCATCCCAGTCACCACAATAACCCCACTAGCCACTCTTATCCCCATGTATGTGATATATTCTGTATTACCCTCTGTAGAGGGATGATATCCTTCTCCGTCAGCTTCTTGCTATTGGTTGGATCCACCATGTCCTTCTTGATGATCTTGTCCAAACACTCCATTGTCACCACGCTCCCCCTGCAACATCGCACAGAGTCATGGAATGCAAGAACGTGATACACAGGTTCAGGGAAGATTTGTCATATATGAACCATTGACTGAGTATTATAAGATTCATATGTTTGCTTGTTGTTTTACGCCGCACTCAGCAATATTCCATATGTCATCGGTCTGTAAATAATCGAGTCTGGACCACAAAATCCAGTGATCAACATCATGAGCAACGATAAACAAAATTTACTTACGATGTTCTTAACACAGCACACGGAACTGAGTTTCCAAGAACGTCATTTGTGACTGCACACACATACCGAGCCTAGAAACAACAACAGCAAAGATTTAACAGAAAATACACAAACACATCCAAACAGCTTGATTATGTCTATGGAACAAATCTTATGCATTCTCAATCAGAAAAAGTCTTAATTTAAAAAAAAGCATGATCACCTGCATTAATTGTCATTTCGGTATGTCTACATATGTCCCTTTCATTCAGCTAGGAAACTCAAAGAGACCATGATTTACCTGTATGGCTGAGACAGAATGATTTACCTGTTTGGCTCAGACATAATGATTTACCTGTTTGGCTCAGACAGCATGATTTACCTGTTTGGCTCAGACAGCATGATTTACCTTTTGGCTAAGACAGCATGATTTACCTGTTTGGCTGAGACAGCATGATTTACCTGTTTGGCTGAGACAGAATGATTTACCTTTTGGCTAAGACTGCATGATTTACCTGTTTGGCTCAGACAGAATGATTTACCTTTTGGCTAAGACAGCATGATTTACCTGTTTGGCTGAGACAGCATGATTTACCTGTTTGGCTGAGACAGCATGATTTACCTGTTTGGCTCAGACAGCATGATTTACTTGCTTGGCTCAGACAGGATGATTTACCTGTTTGGCTCAGACAGGATGATTTACCTGTTTGGCTCAGACAGCATGATTTACCTGTTTGGCTCAGACTGAATGGTTTACTTGTTTGGCTAAGACAGCATGATTTACCTGACTGACTAAGACAGCATGATTTACCTGCCTGACTAAGACAGCATGATTTACCTGTCTTACCTGTCTGACTAAGACAGCATGATTTACCTGTCTGACTAAGACAGCATGATTTACCTGTTTGCCTCAGACAGCATGATTTACCTGTTTGGCTCAGACAGCATGATTTACCTGTATGGCTGAGACAGCATGATTTACTTGTTTGGCTCAGACAGTATGATTTACCTGTTTGGCTCAGACAGGATGATTTACCTGTTTGGCTGAGACAGCATGATTTACCTGTTTGGCTCAGACAGAATGATTTACCTTTTGGCTAAGACAGCATGACTTACCTGTTTGGCTCAGACAGCATGATTTACCTGTTTGGCTCAGAGAGAATGATTTACGTTTTGGCTAAGACAGCATGATTTACCTGTTTGGCTCAGACAGCATGATTTACCTGTTTGGCTGAGACAGGATGATTTACTTGTTTGGCTCAGACAGCATGATTTACCTGTTTGGCTCAGACAGCATGATTTACCTGTTTGGCTCAGACAGCATGATTTATTTGTTTGGCTCAGACAGAATGATTTACCTTTTGGCTAAGACAGCATGATTTACCTGTTTGGCTCCGACAGCATGATTTACCTGTTTGGCTCGGACAGAATGATTTACGTTTTGGCTGAGACAGCATGATTTACCTGTTTGGCTGAGACAGAATGATTTACCTTTTGGATAAGACTGCATGATTTGGATAAGACTAAAACAGCATGATTTACCTGCCTGACTGAGACAGCACGATTTACCTGTCTGACTAAGACAGCATGATTTACTTGTTTGGCTAAGACAGCATGATTTACCTATATGGTTAGGACAGCATGATTTACCTGTCTGACTAAGACAGCATGATTTACCTGACTGAATGGATTTACCTGTCTGACAGACAGCATGATTTACGTGACTGACTAAAACAGCATGATTTACCTGCCTGACTAAGACAGCATGATTTTTGACAAAGACCTGATGATTTACCTGTCTGACTAAGACAGCATGATTTACCTGTCTGACTAAGACAGCATGATTTACCTGTTTGGCTCAGACAGCATGATTTACCTATACTGGCTAAGACAGCATGATTTACCTGTTTGGCTAAGACAGCATGATTTACCAGACAGCATGTCTGACTAAGACAGCATGATTTACCTGTTTGGCTCAGACAGCATGATTTACCTGTTTGGCTAAGACAGCATGATTTACCTGTATGGCTAAGACAGCATGATTTACCTGTCTGACTAAGACAGCATGATTTACCTGTCTGACTAAGACATCATGATTTACCTATAAGACAGCATGATTTACCTGTCTGACTAAGACAGCATGATTTACCTGTCTGACTAAGACAGCATGATTTTACCTGTTTGGCTCAGACAGATTTACCTGTCTGACTCAGACAGCATGATTTACCTATCTGGCTAAGACAGCATGATTTACCTGACTGACTAAGACAGCATGATTTACCTGTTTGGCTCAGACAGCTTGATTTACCTGACTGACTAAGACAGCATGATTTACCTGTCTGACTAAGACAGCATGATTTACCTGTCTGACTAAGACAGCATGATTTACCTGTCTGACTAAGACAGCATGATTTACCTGTCTGACTAAGACAGCATGATTTACCTGACTGACTTAGAAACACAATGTACCTGTTAGGCTAAAAGCATTGTTTATCTGCTTTGCTATGACATTTACCTGTTTGGATATGAGAGCAGTCTTGTTATCCCCATCCTTGATTGGAGTAAATGTCACATCAATCAGATCCTTCAATCTCAAGGGCTTCTTGCTCATCGGGCACCGGACCTTCTCCTCCTGGAAACATCAAACAACAGTTCTAGAGAATCGGTTTCGGTTTTAAATCTGAACCAGCATTGATCAGTAGGTTCTGTATTTGAGGACCATGTTGTCATGGACTGTATCACTCAAAACTGTATCTGATGTACAAGAGAACTTTACCAGAGTGAAAATTTCTCCAGCCTTGGGGTGGGCTGAGTCTTGGAGGTTAGGACAGGGATTAGAGTAGCCCTACTCACTGGCCACATGGACTGGGTGGCATAAGCATGGAAGTGGGGATGGACAATTTGTTCCTTAACGCAGGCTATTTGATGGGGGTGAGGATAGGGGGAGATGGTTGTCTGTTTACAGTTTCTTGACCTGAGTGGGCTGAGCATGGTGTGTAGGTGGGGACTGAATGAGTGACCCCTATTTCCCAGTTGTTTTTGTTATTACAGCTTGTTCAGCTTGACCTGAGCTACTCTACATATGTATGACCTGGGAGGTCAAATGGCACAAACAGCAGGTCGAGTTAACTTCATTAAATAGGGGAGCAGAGAATGTTATAAATGTTGCCTAAAAGCCTGAGTCAGAAACATTAAACCATTTGTAGCTTCTTGTGGAAAGTTAGGACATTGCTGACGATTTCTTGACACTGAGATATCAAACGATGACCCTTGTCTCGGCTGTGTGGACATGTTGACAATCAACTAACAAAAGTGCACCCCTTCACAATAATAGACCCAACCAGTTGTGACACGGTTACGCAATGTATTAGTATTCACTTGATCAGGTCAAGCTGAACAAGCTGTAGGATGGTTGGGATGAGTGATGGGTTGAAAACAAGAGTGACCTCTACGTACTGGCTTCTTGACCTGGGCGAGTCCTTGGGGTAAGTACAGGGGAGAGTGACCACCTACGTACTGGCTTCTTGACCTAGGAGAGTACTGGGGGTGAGGATAGGGGAGAATGACTCTCCTTACCAGTTCTTGATCTGGGTTGGGAGAGTGTTGGGATGAGGACCGGACAGAGTGACCCCTACTTACTGGCTTCTTGACCTGGGTAGGGAGAGCGCTGGGGGTGAGGTTGGGAATCCAGAAGCTGGGAAGTGTCTTGTCTTTCCCCGTCTCCATGTTAGACAAACTGTTTGGAACATCCTTTTCTACTGCTGCAATCATTAAGATGAGACAAATATGAAGGACAATGTTTTATTTTCCTCAGATAGAACAACACGAACATGAAAAGGAAAATATTCACAGAAATTTACAACCGAATAGTGTATATTAAGCCTGTGACAGTTAGAAATATATTTACACAAGTACCCGGTTTGACTAATAATAACTTCATTAATTTCAGTCACAACCGATTTCTGGGTCCAAACAGAAGTGGGTGTACCAAAACCATACTGGTGAATTGTGGAAAATCCCTAAAGTGAAAAGCGATTTTGATGACTTTTAAATCATTTGTCTATGAAAAGTTTAATCGTTATTTATAATATCATATGAGTACGAAGAATTGATTGTCTTTGGAATGAATTGCTAGTATTGCACAACCCTGTAAAATACAATGTTGACTAGCTCCAAATGTCATTGTTTCTCTATTTTTACTGTCACTAAAATCAAGGGAGACAATTCATGCACATACAAGCATTAATATGAGCAAGTAAAATATTACAAGTTGTATGCTTCTCATTGTAGGCTTCGAGCCGGTAGGTTTTATCTTTGAATCAAACATGACCTGTAGAACTTTGACATCACTTTATTCAATACACCATTCAAGATTGAATTTCTAAATGAAAATTCTATGACTCAAGTAGTATTGTGATGCATCATTATGATCATGTGTGTATGAACCCTACCAAGCTTCTTCTGTTCCATGTTGTCAGCAACAGGGTTGGTCTCTCTCTGGACGAAGGCCGTCTTCTTTGCTTCCACTGCAGCCTTGGACAACTCTGCCTTCTCCGTCTACCAAACAGAGACCCGGAGGTAGTTCATGCATCATCATAACCCAGATACAACATGACAAAAAATATTTAAAATCGAAGGAACCTTCCCTGTCAGCGAATGGACAGGCACACAAAGTTGGAGGTCATCAATGGCTGATACTACAAGGCATAGTGGAGGGGTAGGGTAGCCTAGTGGATAAAGCATTTGCTCATCATGCCAAAGACCAGGGTTCGATTCCCCACATAGGTATAATGTGTGAAGCCCATTTCTGGTATCCCCCGCCGTGATATTGCTGGAATATTGCTAAAAGCGGCGTAAAACTAAACTCACTCACTACAAGGCATTGTGATTACAGTTTAGTGATGTTTATTATTTGGTTTCAAATTTGGATCCCTATTACTTTTCATGACTGAAATGAATCTACATAAATACAACTCCAGACAACCAAGGAAATCATTTACTTATACAGTTTCTCTACCAACCATGCTTACACAAATCTAGTTACCATGGTTACCAGTATCTGGTTTCAACTGATGAACTGGTTTCAATTGAATTTTTGTAAATCGTTCACACATATCCTCACTCTTGGGCAATAATGATAATAACAATATGATTGCTCTCTATATACGTACCTTGCCATGTGCACAGGCGAATATTCAATATATTTATATTGTATTGGTCTTTGACCTAATAAAAATCTTGTCTTGTCTTGATGATAATCAAAGGATGATGCAGGAATGACCTGCATTATACACAGAAGTATCTACTTATCTCGATGCAAATATCTGAAATATAATTATCCTGAACAGTGACTCAGCAGGCGAATCAATTACTCATTCTCCTGTTTTCTCATCATGGACTCACCTCAAGCTTTGTCTTCTGTTTTTCAAATTCCTTCAGTTTTCTAGCGATCTCTCTCTTTTGGTGGATGATGTATTCCAAGATGGCCTCCTTGTCATACAGGTACCCATCTGACCTGCGGAAAATGAAACAGGGGTTTAGGTTTGCTATTATTCACCAATGGTTTTTATTTGTTCCTTAACCCACACAAAGCAATGTTCCAGCTGTATAACGACAGTCTGTAAATAACAGCCTGGAGCAGCAATCCAGTGATTGACATCATGAGCATAGATCTACATAAATGGGATTCAATGACATGCATCATGAAAGTAAGCAAGCCTGACCAATTCTGTTAGTTGCTGTTGCTGCTGAAGCCCAATTCTTTACTCCTCATCTGAAGGTTGGTTGTTTGGAGAGCAATGACCATGGAGGTAATCACCCCTTTTCGACCTGGAAGTGGTAGTTCATTCCATGATTACCTCCATGGCACTGCTCTCCCCAAACACGGAATGAAATACCACTTCCACTGTTCAAGGTCGAAATGGGGTGGTGGGGTAGGCTTGTTCTTAAAGCGTTCGCTCGTCATGCCAAAGACCTGGGCTCGATTCCCCTCATGGTTACATAACATACAATGTGTGGAGCCATTTCTGGTGTCCTTTGTTGTGATATTGCTGGATTATTGTCAAAAAACTAAACTCACTCCAAGTACTAAACTTGCCATTTCAACTTGTGCTGTTGTGCAAAAACGCAATCAACAACCTTTTCATATACATACCACTGTACATACCATACTGTCACTGTACATACCATTTCAGGAACATCACAACACTGATGAAACTATGTGCTAGGATCATGCAGTTTTATTTTTGAGATTATCTCCATCACAATATATGGTGATGTAGGAATGGGTAATGTCCTTCTGTCTCATCAACATGATCAAAAACAGACTGCATAACTAACACAATTTGGTTTGCGTTCATGCTGTATTGGAACTTATCATAGTTCTAGAATGGGAATGATCAGATCATAATTACCATACTGACAGTCAGGACTGACTGCATAAAATGTTGTTAGCTGGGTCAACATGAAAAAACATTAAAGGGTAAATATCCAGTGTCAAATTTATGCTATTCAAACAATTTGATGACTTACGTTATGACTGGATTCTTACAAGGTTGTAATGTCAAACAGCAGCAGTCAAATTCCTGAAACGCAAATAGAAAGAATGATAGTAATCATTTATATTTATTTGCCTGACATTACATGATTATATCAACATTATCAATGAAATATCTAGCTGGGATTTGAACCACAGACTTCTTGACACAAGGTTGCACACCTTGCCAACATGGTAATGATTTTAATGATGTGTGAACTCATCTGCTAGCTGACAATGTAAGCATGATCATCTGTGGGTGGCTCTGGGACCTATTGCATGCTCCTTCAAAAACAGAAACTATGTCCCGGTTCTAGTCTGTCTCACAGTCCCTGAACCACATTAATTTCCCCTACTGCCAAGCCCTCTCTGCAGTGCTAAAGCCCTAAATAAAGCAAGTCTAGATTTCCTCAGGTTCCTCTGAATCTCTGGTCTCCCTAGGGCTCCTTTTCAATATAAATGGGCTTGTTTGTTACTATCAAAATTATATATATTCAGAGACTAAGCCTTAGTCTATCCCTGTTCCTACAGTAGGGTTCATATTTAGCCATACTTTAGGCACTAATCATGCTAATGTTGCAGTCTTTCCATGTCCTAAAATTCAAACCATATGTCTCCTTTATGAGTACAAATTTTGAGGCACACTTTTGAGTGAGTGAGTGAGTTTAGTTTTATGCCACACTCAGCAATATTCCAGCTATATGGCGGCAGTCTGTAAATAATTGAGTCTGGACCAGACAATCCAGTGATCAACACCATGAGCATCGATTTGCGCAATTTGGAACTGATTACATGTGTCAACCAAGTCAGAGAGCCTGACCACCCAATCCCGTTAGTCGCCTCTTACGACAAGCATGGGTTACTGAAGGCCAATATTCTAACCTGTACCTTCACGGATCGGCACACTTTTGTATAAAACTACTGACTACAATCTCAACGGAATCACGAGAATCACAAACTAGCTGAAAACTATGACTGTTACTCAGTAACATTATCATGAAATCTAATGAATAAAGATTACCTTCACAGAATCCTTCCCGAGTCGCACCTCCTTGCTCCCATAGCCAGATGAGGATGTGTCCTTCTTCCTCTCATGGTAGGTGTACACAGTTCCTGCTGTACAGTTTCTTGCGTGACGGGTCATGATTCACAATCTGAAATGGACAAAAACATTCTCAGACAGAGTGATTAGGATTATAACCATGGTCTAATGGATGCAAACTATTGGATTTTTACAACAAGTTTTTATGTCACGAAAGGAACTGTGTTGTGAAAGATAGTAAGACTAACACATTTTACTTTTTTAGCTCTGATTCCAGAAGAAACAGAATACAACAGGTTGGGGAAACCTACTGTTTGGCCTATAATAGACCGAACGGATATTATAGGCCGTTCTGCCTATTTTGCTATATAGGCCGATCGGGCTATATTTGAACATTATTATTATTTCACAAACTATCAATTTCCGCACAAAATGGTTTTATATGCTCATAGAGATGAATAGTTAATGGACCTCCTCAGCTAGAAAAAAATAAGTTTTTGGACAAAATGGAAATTTATATCATGTTCTGGAAAAGATGTTTCATTTAAGAACACAATTTTGCATATATTTTCCTTTCGAAAAATAAAACTGAATATCTATGTCATTAATTTTCAGTGAAAATTTTCAAAAATATTATAGACATATTTAATTAGCAATTTCCAAACTCCTTTATAATGTGTTGAAAATGCTTTAAAAGGGTTTGAATGAAAACCTTAGGACATCAAAACTTGAATGATGTTAATATAATCATGCCGAAAAGCACCACTTCAAATTTATTTGATAAATATCATAATTATTGGCTGATCGGCCTATAGCAAAATAGGCAGAACGGCCTATTATATCCCGTTCGGTCTATTATAGGCCGATCGGTAGGTATCCCCAACCTGTACAAATCTGTCTTGTAGCAGTGATAAACTATCAATAACACGGAGTCGTATTCTGTATCTAGAATATACTAAACTGGAGGCTCATGCAAACAGTAAGCTGGGACACTCATACACATTTCCAAAAGTAACAATGAACGAAAACTGGTGACATTAACATGTCTTACGACACGATCAACTAATGTCCCATTACTAGGGTTAAGAATCATGAGATATCATCCGAGAAACAGCCTGGATTGTGTTTTACAAAATGACACGAGATTAATGATACACACGTCGCCCTTTGAACGTATGTAGTCGTTTAATTACTATTCTTTACCTTCTACGTCCCCAGCGAACACAACCGGAAATACACTGGCCCCCTATCGACGAAGGGAAGTAACTCCAGTTCTACAATCACAGATTGTTTACAACAGTGTTTTCATAGGTTCGATACCCAATAAGGAAACCCAACTCGCATAAATACTTTCCATTGAATCAATTTTGCACACATATTTGATAGATGATATACAATTTCCAGTTGATAAAAACCTTAATTATCTATTTTGTTATTCATCGAAGTATTTTTTGCATTAATTCCAACTCGAGATAAAAACTGACTCAAGTAAAATTATATGGATGAATAAACCAAGATGGAAAAAATAAACTGGTATCAGAATGATGCTTATGCTTTTAATCTAGTAATATCCTTATAGGCACAAACGTCAATCTATGTTATCAAATCCAAGGGGAAAAAACACAAAACGCTGGGAGAGTTATTTCCCTTTGACCAATTCCGGTCCTCCAGATTGTTGGGTTTGATTATTCTAACGTGCGTGTACTTGTGTGGTTATGTATATTATGGATTCAAGATATTTATTACTGTGCAGTTACCCTTGAAATAGTTTACACTGAAGATCTTTCATTGTATCGTCTGTAGTTCATTTTTTTGTATCTTTCGAAAACACTTCATTTCAAGTTCCAGTAAGCACGTTTACCTATTATACATTTCCAGTTAATTTGTTGCATATCTGGTGGAAGCGCGTTATGTGTCTTAATTGACTATGAGTGCATGGAGGATTAAGTCGGTAGAGTGAAATTAATGTAGTACATATTTCATAGTTTGAGCTTTGACCATATGATTGATAGCGTTGAGTTTAGCACTGTAGGTATAATGGAAGGAGGCCCACCTGACGCATTGATCACTGTCTAGTAGGTAGGTACACGGTAAGCATGGTAGACACAAATACACTGTAGAAAGTAGATACAATAGGTAATATACAACATGAAAAATAGGCGTCGGTGCGATAAGATTATGCAATATAGTCACACAGACAGTAGACATAGGTACAGTAGGCACATGTGCAGTAAACACAGTACTGACTGACTGACTGTGTATGGTTTTACGCCGCTTTTAGCAATATTCCAGCAACATCACGGCGGGGGACACCAGAATGGGCTTCACACATTTTACCCATGTGGGGATTCGAACCCGGGTCTTCGGAGTGACGAGCCAACGCTTTAACCACTAGGCTACCCCACCGCCCCAGTAAACACAGTAGGCATAGTAGACACGAACAGTGGGGTACTAAGCGTTGTAGATATATTCACAGTAGACACGGGTAAGCAGACATAGGCTCGACAATGTAGAAAATTGTCAGTAGCCACACTGACAGTAGACACATGCACAGTAAACATAGTAGGCACGGTAGCCACAGGTACAGTATTCAAAAGAGTTACAGGTTGATTAAACACGCTAGGCATAGTAGACACATGCACAATCTAAACAGTAGGTACATTAGTCTCAGGTCCAGTAACCAAAAGAGACATTGGAACATTAAACACGCTAGGCATAGTAGACACATGCACAATCTAAACAGTAGGTACACTAGTCTCAGGTCCAGTAACCAAAAGAGACATTGGAACATTAAACACGATAGGCATAGTAGACACATGCACAATTTAAACAGTAGGCACACTAGTCACAGGTCCAGTAACCGAAAGAGACATCGGAACATTAAACACGATAGGCATAGTAGACACATGCACAATTTAAACAGTAGGCACACTAGTCACAGGTCCAATAACCAAAAGAGTCATTGGAACATTAAACACGATAGGCATAGTAGACACATGCACAATTTAAACAGTAGGCACACTAGTCACAGGTCCAGTAACCAAAAGAGACATTGGAACATTAAACACGATAGGCATAGTAGACACATGCACAATTTAAACAGTAGGCACACTAGTCACAGGTCCAGTAACCAAAAGAGACATTGGAACATTAAACACGATAGGCATAGTAGACACATGCACAATTTAAACAGTAGGCACACTAGTCACAGGTCCAGTAACCAAAAGAGACATTGGAACATTAAACACGATAGGCATAGTAGACACATGCACAATTTAAACAGTAGGCACACTAGTCACAGGTCCAGTAACCAAACGAGACATTTGCACAGTGGGCATATTAGACACAAACAGCAGAGTACTAAATGTTGTAAACATTACACAGTAGGCATATTAGACATAGGTATAGTAGGTACACAGTAAACACAGTATAGAAGACACAGGCACAGTAAAACAGTAGGCATTGTAGCCACATGCCCAGTAGATATAGGAAAGCCAACTACAGTAAACAGAGTAGGCACAGTACACAAAACATAGTGCAGGGTTCTAAGCGCTGCTTGTTAGATACAGTCGACACATGTAGCATTCGTGTAACCGACCGCAGCGAAATATATGGGTGCCTATAGCTAGTCCAGTAGAACTTGCGTTGGGCATTTCTGATAACTGACCACATTTATGTTTAACCTGAACAGACGGGCGTTATTGGTCACCACAACAGGGGCGGATCCACGATTCTTGAGAAGGTAGGTCGTGTGTGTGTGTGTGTGTGTGTGTGTGTGTGTGTGTGTGTGTGTGTGTGTGTGTGTGTGTGTGTGTGGGTGGTGTGTGTGTTGTTGTTGTTGTTGTTGTTGTGTGTGTTGTGTGTGTGTGTGTGTGTGTGTGTGTGTGTGTGTGTGTGTGTGTGTTGTTGTTTTGTTTTGTTTTGTTTGTGTGTGGGGTGGGGGGTGGGGGTTATTGTTCTTCAGGGATTTATTTTACAGATCCGCCCCTGCATAAAACACACCAAGGTGCGTGGTTCTGGGGATGGGGTCTGCTCACTTTTCACCCATATTTATGCAGGAAGGCACTTGTCATGGCAAATACTTTATACTTAATTTCTGGTTTATCTTAATACTGGTTTGCATTCTCAATCTTAAAATATCCCACTTTCATCAAAATTTAATATAGCTTTGATTATTTACCGACTTCGGCCATCTTGGATTTAATACAAGTTGTTATCTATCATAGTCCTCTGGTGTCTTCAATTAGTCAATACAAACAAGGGTGTCCTCCCATTACGCAGACAGCCAGTTCGAAGACACCTTAAACAAACAACATTTACGGTTCAGTGAACAGATTATCTACTACCTGTTACCTACACATTATAATGGAATAGTCCAAATAAAAACACAGGCACAACCTGAAGGAAGCTATATTATTTATTTTGAAAGATGGACGAAAAGACAGTAACTTGAATTTTTATTGTTGCAATATTAAAACAGTTTATTTTCATAAACATTTCGGTTTAACCTTCTAGTCTAACGGGAGTCGGCATCATCATATTGAAAACATTAGCTTAGCTATTAGAAATCGCGACACTGTTGTATCATATAAATCAAATAAAGACAAATGTGAACCTAAATATTATTCATATGGAATAAATAAGTTGTATGTTTTGCACACAATATTAAGATATATGACGAGTGCACTTAATTACGATTTATTCAGAATAAATATTTAAAATATGACACATCATGTCAATGTGGCCATGGATGTGAGAATGTTTTTCATTACTTCCTTGAATGTCCATTGTACACTACTCAAAGACATAAACTGTTACAATCTTTAGAAACTATTGTTAAAATTAGAACACTGATTTGTATTAATCGTATCTTACATGGCAATGCAGGTGTCTCATTTACTGCAAATCAGAATGTTTTCAAATATGTACATATCTATATCTCTCCAACAAAACGTTTTCTCAGTTAACGTCTGTTGTACATATGCTATTATTGGGAGGGGACCTTTCTATCAATAAACACAATCAAACCTCTCAGTGACAAACCTGTTTTATATTCGATAGTAATTAATAGTAAAAACAATTTTGAGAAGAGAAATCATTTAGCATTTAAACACAACAAATTTCTATTTACCTACAATCAAACTTCTCAATAACAAACCTGTTTCAGGCTCACCCTGCTCTACTCACTAGACAGTGGACTGTTCCATTATACCCATAGGTGTAACCCTAATTAACCTTCTAGTTCAGTGTCTGTCAATTGGGTGTCTGTCAAATGGGTGTCTGTCAAATGGGAGATAACCCAAACAAGGGTCACTCACACAGAAACCTTCATGACGAGAATATAAACTTGGGTCTCAGTTTATTTACCGAAACTTCTTCCACGAAACTTATCAAAAATAGTACGTCTGTCAAAAGTTGGTTAATGTTAATAAGTTAATAAAATCGATATTTAAGACATATTTGTCTGAATTAAATCACACCCTCACAATACGTTATAAAATGTACATGTCACATAGACAGTCCGCATCTTGGAGTAGGCATCCTGCCACCTGCCTGCGCGCGCACCTTCCCGTGTCGACCAGCCCACAGTAGGACGCCATATGTCCGAGAACCATCAGAATGGTGTAATACCTGAACCAATATTTTCGCTAGGAAACAGGTTTGGTGTGTGTATCAACCGACGCCCAAGAATATAAAGAGGTAATGAGCTAGGCACACACGACCAGCAAATGTGGCCGAAGCTGCTAAAATTCGACGAGAAAATCAAAAGTTTGGGTAAACATTAGAAAAATGTCCGGCGCATGTCGCCCATGTGCAAAAACATATACTTTGAGAAATGTGTGGCACACGTTTACTTCTTGGAATGAAAATACAAGACGCTTTAACAAAAGTAGGGAATTGACAGGGTTATGTAGTTGTGTTAGTTTTTCTGATATTATTATGTGTCGGTTGTATTCATTGTTGTCGGATTTAATTAAAAGAAAAAGTCAGTTCTATTGGATCTGACTTTTGTGGTTTTCTCATTATATCATTTTGTGGTTTTCTCTTTACGTATTACATGAGCGGATGGCATGGATTTCCTACAACTAAACCCACATTTTCGTTTTCTTCCTCTTCTTTTTCTTCTTCTTCTTCTTCTTCTTCTTCTTGTAGTAGTAGAGAGTGAGTGAGTTTGGTTTTACGCCGCTTTTAGCAATATTCCAGCAATATCACGGCGGGGGACACCAGAAATGAGCTTCACACATTGTACCCATGTGGG